TATGCTTGTTTCAGTTTATTGACAGGAACTATGCCATTTTCCTTTTTGAGTAACAGTTTTTCAAACTTTTGTTCTCTAATTATGCACTACACTTGCTTAAATACTACTATTTGTATTAACAGTTAGCTCATTATGTTTGGTAATGTGTATCTCTCACTTGATGCCAGTGCTAAGTAACGAGTTTCCATGTTCTCAGAAATAGCTTAACATGCAGATACTAGCTCATTTAATGCACCTATGCTTTTGAAAGTCATGTGATTGATGAAGAAAGAATGTTTTGTTATTTTCTTAATTATTTATCTATTCTGTGGAAGAGTTCAATTGTGACAATTTTAAAACACACATGGTTTTGTGCAGATGTTACAATGCCAAGAAATAACTTGTTAATTATAGAAATCTTGGAAAATAGGGTGCTAATTTATTTTGGGATGTTATTATATAAATTTGTTGCTTATGGAAAGTTTATTTTGAAATTGGTAATTATTAGTTTTCTTTCACTAAAATTTATAATTCAAAAATTCAGTGAAGTCTACATATTACTGAGACAGAAAAATGAACAAAATACAGATACCCTGCTCACTTTAAGAGTGGAGAGTCTAACACAATCAAGAAAATCAAATTAACTAAAAGGAAGGATCAATAGAATAGTAAGCAAAATGAAATACAAAAAGTCTTTTACAACATTCATAAAGAATTGTTCTTTACAAGGGTTCATTATTAGTATTATTTCTTTTTCTTTTTATTTTAACAAAGTAAACTTCTAAAAGTGATATATACAAATAGAAATGTGTACACTAGTGTCAAAGAGCCAGAGCATGTCTCTAGAGGCCAGTTACAATTAACACACAAAAAAATCAAGATACACATTAAAATTAAATTATATAGAAAACACTTTTAAATTCTTGGCTCTTCCACACATGTACTCATTCACGGAAGAGCCATGGTACAGCCACAAATAGAATAAAATGAGATCCACTTGTGTACAAAACAATTTAGAACAAACTAATAGATTTAATACAGTACATACAATCATGGTTTATTGTGATTGAGGCTTTGTTCCACTCATTGTTACTCTGCCAGCAAAGATTCCAGTATTGCTGTTATCCTTCATTTAGGAGACGGTGATGCCTTAAGGTATAGATGAACCTCACCAGGTTCCATTTGGTCTTGACTCGCCTGTCATGCATACATAGCACCTCCCCTTGTATTGCGGTGGAGACATGGTCTTTTGCCTCAACTGATCTTCCTTCTGGTTACAGAGTGCCCAGCTCTCTGTCCGTTTGGTTGCCATCTATTGTTAATGTCATTTAAGTGCCAGAATTTGCTCTAGAGTTGATAAGTTCATAATCAACTTTGATGGCTTGGATAGGAGGTCCACACTCAGATATTTTATGGGTGCCTCCTGCAATCTCTTTGCTGATGGCCCTTCAGTGACTACAGCAGCACAGGAGCTGGGAAATATTGAATGAGCCATCTGGCTCATTGGTGCCTTCTTTGCTTGGTTCTTCATGATCTTAGATGCCTTGGAAACTTTTTCGGGTCCTGTTGTGTCTTTTTTGTTCAAAGCCTGCATTTACTTGAGACACACACAGCACCAGAAAGCTTTTCTTTGGCTTCAGAATGGAACAGTCCCATCATAAATGTGGAGATTTATATTGTCTTCTCCTCATTTTTGTTCACCACCACATGATGGGGTGAGTCACTGCATCACTCTTCTTCTCGATCTTCACTTCCTTAGATGGCATTGACAGTAATACTGATCCCTGGTGTTGGGATGCTTGATGGCTTTGTCCTCCCAGAGTCAATGATGTCAAAGTTGATGAACTGAGACTGGTGATGTTCCTCAACTCCCCAATGCCTTCATTAGTTGTCACAGACAACTTGGCCCAAGGACATTAGCCTATATACTGAATTAGCAAGAGTTTCCCAACTCAGATGTGTTGGCCAGCAACTCATCTTCATCCATAAACTCATTCACAGTGAGCGCTAGTTCAAATCTTTAGTCTCAGTGGCAACTTCATTCTCCCTTGCTGTACAGGAAGGCTTTGGTATAGTTGTGAAGCTTTAAGGCTGGTACGAGATTCTGTGTTATTGTGATCTTGCATGAGGAAATTGAAGAACAGCAATACTGGTCCAAATCTGGAAAAACAGGAGCAGTACAGGAAATATTGAAAGGGAGAGGCTGACTGAGGCTAAAACTTGATCTTAGGTACCTAAAGTCTGAGTTAAAATCTAAAGGTTGACCAAATACTGATAGTGTGCAGGTAAAGGGGGCTGTAATACCCAGTTACAATTGTGAACTATATACTCGTCAAACCTGCAGATCACATGTCCAAGGAATGGGGACTTTCTGACCCTAGCCCCATAACTTCTTGGGATCTCCAATTGACTAGCTACTTGTAGCTGTGCTGCCCACACACATACTAGACTCTCTAACCCAGTCTCATCCCTAACCTACCATCTGTTTGTTTTTCAGACAGTACATAGTTCTAGTAGAAAGTAATGGGAATCGAAATTTATCGGGTCCTAAACTGTCAAATTGAGTCGGGTTAGACATGCTAACCCCACCTTTTACTGTTATCCCTTGCTAATGCTTTCACTTTTCTCTCTTTGGGGCTTTCATTCTTCCATTTACATATTGTGTAATAGCTATGGCACATACTATAAGGTGTCAGTACAGGGATGGTACTTCTGTCTCCCCTTATTACATACACAACCAGTATTTTTCATGCTTCAAAACTATATTTTGTAATGGAACAACTTTAAAATATTTGGTAAAACCATTCACATAGTACAAATATCTCAATCTGCCTGACTGAGTATATTCTTCAGGTAAACTTTGTTTTCTCTTTCTTGCCATAGTGTGAATCCTTTTGTCCCCTGTATCTTTTCTATGAAAAATTTTCAAACCTATTAACTATCTCAGTGTCAAGATTGAAACATTCTCTTAGCAATATATTCTCCAATAATACCTTCCAAGTTATTTTATCACAGTTAACTTTATATTTATCAATTTTAACATTCAGATAAAATTCTTTGTTTCTAAGCTCTCTCTGATTTCTTCTTAATTCTTTCACTTTTTTATTGTTATTCAATGCTATTCTATTTGTATGTGGTTGTGCCATTGGTCATAATTTGTTTGTAAACACCCATGGAGGACTCTGTGTAATATTTCCCATACTTGCATTCTGCCATGCATGTGACAGTTTACAAATGCATATTGTCATATACATATGCTGTTATTACACTACGTTGAGTACTCAAGTGCTTTATATAGTTCGCCTCTGGCTACAACATAGAAAACTGATAATGTCAATGTTACCAACTTGAGCTACGCCCCTTAGTAACAATAGTGCCATCTAGAGGAGTCATCAAACTCAACTCTGTTTATTTCAGGTCTCATGAAATAAATAATCACTAGTAAAATCTGGATGAACCAAGTTCTTTTGGTCTAAAAGTCTATTTGCAAAGATTAAAATATGTGCTTTCACTCGGGAAAAACTGGACTCTCTTGTTGACCACAAATTTGGCATATTTTCTGTAGATGTGTGTGCTTGATCATAGGTGTTAGTAACTTTATCCTTTGTTTACAGAAAGCTGCCCTACTGAGATAAATATAGCTGTAAAGCTATAAATCTAAAGGACTCAAAGTATTAGTTTTGACCATAAGAATAAGTAGTGTGAAGTTATTTACTACAATATACAGTCTTTCTGGGAAAAAAGTAACAGATTGAATATAAAAACTGTAAGCTGAAAAAAAAAATTATTAACATGAAAATCACCTTGCACTCAGACTGACCAAGTAATGGCTTCGTAAATTTAAAGACAAATCTTAAGTAAAATACTTTAACAAAAATAATTGTTTTGTGTACAACAGGCTTGTAATGTTTACTAAAAGTCTGCCAAATTGCATGAATATGCACTTACTATTTTAAAAGATGTAGTGGTTACAAAGTTAGTCAAAATAACCACACCCATATATAAAGAGTTAACTGTCAGCTTTAGCACTGTGCCAGTGATACCTTACAATATATTTTAGCACATTTTTAATTCAAGAAGTCACAAATAGTCTTTTTAACATCTGAATATTTCTAAAACCATTTTATAAAAATGTGCATCACATTAGCAATCTTCTAATCATCCATCAATTTCTAAGTTATCATAATTAACCCTCCACTATCTTGTTTCTTAGCTTCTTCAGTTTCAAACATAAAACCTTTTAAGGTAACATGTAACTTTCATTTAACATGAGATTACAATACTAATGATATCTAACAAGTTTATTGCAAATAAAAACTCAACATTTAAGAACTTGTGACAAAAAAGTATCTAGTGTTAGTGTAATATCAACTGAACTTATTATTTTCTACTTCTATTTATTAACAAAATAGTTATTACTTTAATATCTTATGAAAGCCAAGTTAATATTTTGTAAGGTCAAGGGCTTTTTGGTAACTAAAAATTCAAATTAGTTGAAATATTTTTTATGTACATCAAATTTTTTGTAATATAAAAGTTAAACATTTTCATCCACATTTGTCATTAGGAATGCAACTTAAGGGATTGATAAATGTTAATACATTTTCTATATGGTTATAATTTTCAAAAAGTTCATTTGTATTCCTTATTTTGCTGTTTAGTAAGGTTTTAAAAAATTCAGAATAGAAACAACTGAGCAATTTAACATGTTTTATGCTAATATGATGTTCAGAATAGCCTCTAGACTCAGTAAAGTACTAAAAATGCAGCAGTTTAAAACATTTAACTTGTGATTTCTTTTATTTTTTTTACTTTATGAAGACAGTGCTGCTGCTTATTTTTGAGGCAATAAAAAACTTGTTCATTTCAATGTATTTTGTGTATTTGAATTAAAAGCTTTTGAAGTTAGTAAGTAATGTCATTTTGAAATAATTCCTCGTTGTTATAAACAGTGTTCTGTTAATCAGATAATGAAACAGATTGTTTTACATGTATGTTAACGAGAAGTTATGCTTTTTCAGAAACAATACTCTGACTTGGAATGTTGTGAGGAAAGCCTTTCAGAACCTTTCTGATCCCTCACAAGAAGTAGTTACAACTGCTTTGAAAGAGTTGAAGAACTATGCTAAGGAACTTAGTAAGATACACTTCTAAGATCTACATTTAGTTAGGTTTTCGTTTTTGATTTAACATTTAGTAATTATTTAGTAATTTATGAATAATTTTTGTTTGTTCATAAATACAGTTGTATTAAGGTTTTCTTCATTAGATAGAGAATGAAACCTGAAACCAATAATATTGTCAATTGCTAATTATTTTGTGGTGCATGCTAACTGAGCTTATGTGAATAATTATAAATGATTTGACTTGTATTTAAAAAAGAAATAGCTATACAAAGAATGTTTTTGCTTTCTAGTAATAATATTATTGACTTTTTTCATTTTAAAACTATCAGTACTTACTTAGGCCAACTTGAATTCTTTCTTTATCAGATTAAGTGATGTTCTTAGAATATTGATTACTGAGCTTAAATGTCTCATAAATTATGTGGCTGTCATTGGTGAGACGACGAGCATGCAGAAAGTTCAAACAAAAAATTTAACATAGAAATAAACATTCAAAAGAAGTTCTATTAAACTGTCTATATACAATAGGATTTAAGATGGAAAAGATTCTTCCTAAAGGTTAAAAAGAAAAAAGATGGGGGGGGATATCAAAGGAAAATCTGATTGTATTAGAAAGTTGTAATTAGGTCTTTCTTCTAGTCCACTTTGGTCTTACCTAGACACTGATATATAATATCATTGATTACTATTCCGTAGACTTAAATGTTAATAACAAAAAGTCAACTCCAACTTACCATGATTTCCTAATGAAAAGCGATATTTATTCTTACATTAACTTATGTATACCAAAGTATTTTCTTCATTTATCCTTACATGTTAAAATTTTTGTTTATTTTTTACCAATGGTTGTTTTTAAAAAATACAATACAATTAGAGCTTTAGAATCATTGTCAATCTATTATCCAATTTATATTATTAGAATTAGTTAATTTGTAATCACATGGTTAATTCTAGAATTAGTGAATTTGTAAACTCATTGCCACTTCTTGTATTAATTAACCCCCCTCTATTCATGAGTAGGTCAAAGTGCACATGTCATGATCAATTTATAGAGTTACTTTTAAAATTTAATTAAAGTACGTTATTATCAATGTATGTTAATAAATTTGGCATCAAAACATAATTCATAATTAAAGTTTTATTTTAATTTCTGAAGGAAATACTTAAATAAACTCTTAATCAATTCATTTTTTGGAAAATGTAACTTAATAATAAAATAAAACACAAACATAATAATATGAAGCATTTATTAAACATTTCAGAATCTTCAAAATTCCATCTTCAGTAATCTAGAGGTACAAAGGAAACACAATGGTAATTACACCAGAAATATGACATAATTTGTGACAAATAATAAGTAAAAAATTTGAATACAAAAAGTAGAACAAGAGAAAATTAAAAGTATGTAGCACAAATGAAATAATTAAATTGAAAATAGATTTAAATCAAATGAAGAACGTGTATTATTTATAGACACGATACAGAAATTGGGTATCCGATTTCTCTGTGCAATTTTAAAATTCTCTCAACAGTCAAGTATGATACTGGACTTCTAATAAAACAGATATTATACATAAAAACTCTTCTTCTGTTTCTAAATAATACACATTCTTTAGTTGATTTTAAATTATTTTAATTTAAGTATTTCATTTGTGCAATTTAATTTTAATTCTGATTCGGTACTTCCCATTTATCACCAGATTAGCTTTTCCTACTTTGTGCTGCCTTCTATATGCGGAATTTTTTTTTTTATAATGCATGCCACAAGTGTTCTGCATCCCCCCCTCAAGGGAATCAAAGATTCCAACATGTCTCTCATGCAAATCATCATGCATCATCTCTCCACCAA